CTCAGTTTATACTATTACTATTATTATTACATACTATTATTTGACTTTTTTTTTGTTATTTACAGTTTCTAGCCATGCAGCCTTTCTCTCTGGTTTTAATACAGCTGTGCCTTTTATAGTTTGCAGAACAGATAGCAGAACATTATAATATTACAATCTAAAATTGCTCTTTAAAGCATTAAAATAACTAAATTAGAATTTAAAATCACTGAATTCAAAATTAAAATAAATAATTAAAGAAAATTACTACATTTTAACTGCTATAAGAAACACACGTTAACTCATTTGAGCTTAGTAATTAGTACTGTAGCCTACTAGCTTACATTTGATTTACCTATTACAATAGTCCACTTACAGTTACTGCTATCATAAAAATACACTTTATATGTAGGTTTAAAATTCTACAAAAGACACATTTAATGTCTCAAAACAAATTTTTTAGCAAAATGTATATTTTATTCAGAATTTTTACACTCCTATTTGATTGCGCTCTGTCTGTTTAGCGCGCATGCGCGCAGCAGCGCTCGTTCACTGTTGAGAAACAGTTTAGAGAGGAGAAATCAATCTACATATAAAATATTGGTCACAGATTATTGGTCACTTTCTAAATAATAAAAGTATAGCGCATCTACTAGTAATTATATATAAATTAATCGTTTTTTACCAATGCAAATATGTTAGAAACGATGCATCGCAATATAAATGACAACTTGTAGCCGATGCACACTTTTTAAACCGATGCATCGCATCATTAACTTTTTATGTAGATGCACCGAGCGAATCGGGGAATCTTCCCATCCCTAGTGTCTGGACATTTCCAATACCTCGGTCAGGAAAGAAAGGAGTGGCAAGACGATGAGAGCGTTTTAATGTCTCAAAGGGAGGGGCGTAGACAGTGCGATTAAGCCTTTGCCAGACGGTGAGCTTTCATGGATAATGTAGAAGACGGTGAGTGAGAGTCAATGAGCGCACGGAAAACAATATTAAAACCCTCAAGCAGTCAGAATCAATCACACACACTCTCCACATGTCAATGTGTAAATTGCGTTTACGTCGACTCGAAGGTGACAGGCTTGTCCTGTCATTGATTCTCCATTAAGGGCAAGCAGCGCATTATAATATATTGAAGTAGGCAGCTCAATGTTAGTGCGCCATACATGCAAATCATCCACCTCCTTTTAAATGACCTGAGACTGATGCTTCTGAAGCTTTAGAGCTGAAGGATAGAAAGCATTTTTAATCTTTCAATAGCACATACATTGTTGAACTTTCACCTCGGACAGTAATATATCTCTTTGGCCTGTCGAGCTCATGGTGCCTTTAATTGGAATGGAGAGTCTCAGTCTTTTGTGTCCTTGCAGTTGGTGGGCCGGTTGATGTGTCGGTGGCCATTTTAGGGATGCCGATAAGCATTGCTGTCTGTTTTAAGTGTTGTCACTCTCATGCTTGATCCCTCCTAATCCTAACAGTGCCTTGAATTAATTGTTTCCTTCTTTGTGTTGAGAAGAGAGCACAAATCTGTCCGTTTAGTGTGAATATTTAGTCTCTGCATGCTCTCATTCATCAGCACTTCATTCCTGGGTGGAGCAGATAGGAGACACCTGTCCCTCCTGATGCTTCAGGTAATTGCCTCTCATCTCTTTCTCCATCTCGCTTCTTTTAGGTCTTTCAAACAGATGGCTCACCCCCACATCTCTCACTAAACTCGCCAGAGCACTCCTGTCAGTGCGCTGATGTTTCATGCCCTCCTCCATTCAATCAGCCCGTGGGACGCATCCTTACGACAATCACAGATGGACTCAGATTCTCCTTACTGTTCCATTTTCATCATTACTCATAAACACACAGCTCTCTGGGGTTCACTTTTGGTTTAATGTGGCATTCAAACCAAACTGCTTCTGTCTTTCCTCCCCTAATTGGATCTGGATATGCAGTTGTTATCATTTAAATGAACACCACAATCATTTTGGTTCACGTCTTTGTGACAATTAGCATGATGACACTCCACCTGTTCACAACCTATTTACAGCTTTGTGATTTCAATTGCAATGTGTGAGTCAGACAGGTTGAAGATGATTTTGATTATCATAGGGTAGATCGCACTCAATTGACCCCTGCAGGCCAGTTTTGACCTGGCTGTTATACAAAATCTTATTGACCTGGTCTCTTTTGTTTAGTGTTGTCATAATTATCCCTTGTCTTTATTCAGAGACAGAACAACCTCCCAGTGGGCTCATGTGGGTGTGCTCTAAATTAACAGTCAGTTCATCTGGGGGCACGATCAGTAAAATAGTTTCTTGATTGACACCACTGGGGCCTTTTGGAGTCCACTGGGAGTCAAATGTTATTTCCATAATATTAAATAAGAACAAAGAGTGAGACTTTTTTCCCACACATGCACAGATTCAGTGACTTTTTTTTTTTGTAGTTTGTAGTCATTTTGTAGTAAAGTATTTGTTTGGAAAGAAAAATCCGATTTTCTGTTAATGTTTCTAGGATTTGTCATCAGAAATAATTAATATATGCACAAAATAATCTTATATTGATTTAAAGACTATTTATATATAATATTTGTGTTAATTAATTAATTTATTTATATGACAAGCCCCATGGCTATTTATTTGGCCTGCAAAAATGCTTAAAGTATTTATTATTTAAAATATTAGCATTTAAAGCTAAAAATAGAAATGTACACTTTCCCTTTTTTATGCAAAAAAAGTTTGAGTGACTACAAAAGACTGCCCCTCCCCTGCAGGCTTCCTCTTTAGTTTCTCAGTATTGTGCTAACACTATCTGCAGCAGAAGTGCTATTCTTTTGAATGCACAGTGACCATATTGTGTTTGCACTCTCTATGTGCATGCATTTCTCTGCTCAAGTATACTTGAGCTCCTCTCCTCTCCTCTTTAAATATTGTCTCAAAATAGCTGGTTGCCAGGCACTCTCTACTGCAGCAAAGCGCTGCTCAAATACCTGTAACACACTGCTTTGAGAAAGTTGCTAAGGAACAATGGTGACATTAAAGAATAGACTCTCTGTAAAGGTCATTACAGTGGTTTGAATTTTAGTTTTAACTGCATGGAGCCAAGCTGATGCAGCACTGATGTATTTGAGAGTTGGCTTTTGAGAGTTGGTTGTTGAGGTTTTATATCAGACTGGCCTGCTTTTATTTTTTCATCAGTGGTGAGCTTTTGACCTAACAAAGTTTAATACAGATTGACCGAACAAAACATATACTGTTAAATGTGTATCTCCTAATGTTATAATGTAATTGTTAAAGAAGTGTAAGGAGGTGTTTTTGGTTGCTAGCTAAGAACATGATTACTTTGCATCTATACAGAAAGGATAAATTAGAACGCTTAAAAAAGTGAAAAGATTTAGTCTCTTTAGACAAACTGCTTCAGCTTCGTTTGGGATTAACCCTAGGCCAGGTCAGTAGCAAATTGCTTTTTCGGAGGCAATCTTGTTTTGAAAGTTTCTCTTCCATCTCCAAAGGCATCCTGTTGTGAATTAAACGATATTGAGACAATAAAATGTATAGGCTATATTTGTCGTGGAAAGCCATTTCGCCTTGCTCGGATCATTAAAGCGAATGTTCCTGAATGCAAGGAGCTCTCCTCCTCCTCAAAGCAAGTGACATGTGCCTCTGTATCCTTGTCACACTTGGTTCCCCAGTGACTCCTGTCCATCAGGAGCAAGGCTGCATGTTTTAACATAAAGCTGCCAACACAATCAATTATTCATTCAAAACGTCTCACTCTTGATGATAATTCTCCTGCTATGAATAATTGAAGGGAAGTACCTGCTTCACTTTGGAATTTCCCCTTGCCACTCTCTCCTTCAAAATGCCTCATTAGCTCTTACCTCGTTATTGAGGTATCTGCCGAAACAGGTGGTTGTCAGGCGTCATTTGTGAACTGAAACAGCCATAATAATTGACTGTGGCATTCTCTTGTTCACTCTCATAACAATTAATAATTCCTTAATTAATGATAAATAATTCCTATCATGTGTTTATCTTAGGCTTACCAAAGATATATCCTAGAATATCTAAATAACAGATAGGAAAGTATAGAAGTGTTTGTGTTTTTGTATGGCTTTGTATTTATAATTTAAACATTATTATTAATATATAATATTTTAATTTGAATTACTTTTGCATTTAATTTAATATTTATTTCTTTATTTTTTTTATTTGCTATATTTTTTTAATGAGGATCGGACATGAATGTGGTGCAGAGAGAAAAACACAATCAGGAACTGTTGCAAGTAGACTTGTGCCGGTATTCGGTAATGTGATATATCACGGTAATTAATATGCACGGTATTGTTATCGTGGGCACTTCTAAATACCGTGAATAATTATATATTACAAATTATTTAGAATTTTGAATGCATTTTAAGAATACTTTTCCAATCAACTGGTCAAAATGCACAATACCGCTGTATGCTGCGTGAAAGAGCGTGTGCACTCTGATGTAAATAAGCACGGACGAGAAGCACATGGCGGAACATGTGAGAGACGCTCTGGATGAAGGCGCACCTTCACTCTCTGACAGCAGATGGCGCTAAACTGCGGAAATAATAATAATAATAATAATAATAATAATAATAATAATAATAATAATAATAATAATAATAATAATAATAATAATAATAATAATAATAATAATAATAATAATAATAATAATAATAATAATAATAATAAGTTCAGTTATTTTTGTTATAAGAAAAAAGTTATTAAACCTGTTATACTGTATTATGACAGCACTATATTTTAAACTAAATTTCAATATTGTGATAATACCGTATACCGTGATAAAAGCATTAGCAATTAATCGCAACATGAGAATTTGATACCGGCATATCCCTAGTTGCAAGTCAAAGTCAAACTTGCTGTGTCTTAGAACATGTGCCCTTTTGTCTACATGCTCTGTTTCTTTTCTCTCCAGTACAATAAATACCTGCCCCCCCAGCTACATCTGTATTCTACTACTAGCTATTATGTCAACAATAAGTACAACATCAAATTTTAGTCAGCACCTGAGCTGCACACATGTAATAAGTTCCACTGTGTTTCCAGCACAAAAACAAAACGGGAGCAATATTTCATAAATCTGCCAAGACTGTTTTTCCAGAATCAGCTCTTTGTTTTTCTGGCAATTCTGTTCTCTGACAGGAGGTGATGACAGGCAGAAGCGTTAAGTCTGCAGGAAGGAAAGTGATGAACTGCTGAACACATTACACGCAGAGACCAAAAGCGCCCTGCACAATACAATCTACATTGTGGAAATAATTGCTGCTCTTATGTCTTCCCTTTGAGAGCGTAGCAGAACTGTGGCAGAACTGAACAATGGCCTCTGCCGGGTTTCTGTTTGAACATTCTTGCACATTTTCTCGCCGCAGAGTCCAAAACACTCAGTTGTGGTGTAAAGAGTGACAGAAAAAAGAAAGTGAGGGAGTTTTTAATGTGCTCACTGGTCTACGCCATGCAGTTTGGTCTGTCTCTGGTGTGCCATGGCAGTAAAGGGGAGTCATCCAGGAAGAGCAGGAAGTACTTCCACATTCAGCTCCAGCCGTGACCAGCTTGCAGAGCACACTCATTATTTTTCTTTCTCTTTCTGTCCTGCTCTGTTTCTCTTGTCCTTTAGTTTGCTGCAAACCTAAAGGAATTCCTCTGACAGACAGGTAAATTTTTTTGAGTTCGTGAGCATGAATAAGTAAACCTTGAAAGTGTATATATATAGCGTATTTGTCCTTCTTCATAAACTCCAGAGTCTGATATTCTGTAGCCTTGGTATATATGCGTGATAAGTTTTGCTTTTGTTGACCTCCCTGCCCTAAAGCTCAAGGAAGGTGTAAACAGGAACACTGCAATCCGTGTTAATCCTTTAAAAATGACTCTGGCAGGGAATAGCCTGACAATGACCCCACCGCATAAAGATTTCAGAGCACAGGATGCTTCGTATTAAATTCTCAGAGGTCAGGGGCAACATTCAAGGTGAAATATACTTTAGCCTTATCCAAACTTGCAGCTAAATCGACATACAAGATGGCAACGTTGATGGCTGCCTCAGTTTTGTAGCTCCTTGGTACTTTTGCTATTTTTGTTTGTATGTCCTGTTTTAAGTTGTGCTGTAAAATGATTAATCATTTTAAAATGCATAGCTCAGACAGAATCATGATTTCTATTTATTTTCCACTGATTTACTGATGAGCATTAGCAGCTTCCAGCGCTGTCTGCTTGTGTTCTCTCTTCCATGATCGCTGCTCTGACTCAGAGGTAATAACATATTTAATTTCAGCAACATTACATGGCCAAAACACACATTAGATGGCAGGTCCGGATTTACCTATTTTCGTGACGTAGAAAAAACATTTTTGGACATTTCTGACGCTGATGAGATTAACCCCTTAGGTATCGAAATTTGGTACCGAACGACAAGACGTTTTTCGATACTCGATGGTATCGAGGCAATTCGGTCGGTGTCTAAAAAGTATCAAACTCGATACCCAGCCCTATATATACATAATAAATATACACAGTACACAAACATATATTATGTAAACAAAAACATTTGTTTTGGATGAGATTAATCGTTTGACAGCACAAGTT